TGTGGTTGGAGCAAGTGTATGGGTTTACTATTGATGCGATAAAGAATTGGCAGGTGGGTTGTTGTTGAGTGGAGGAGGTGGCGGAAATGTGGTATGAATTGATGATGATGTTATTAGGTGCTGCCCAATAGTAAACATTATCTACTGCAATTCTGGGCGCAGCTTGTGAGCCCTATCATGAATGATAAGGACAAGACACCGGGCTTCCACTCTAAACTGGAGGACTATATCTACACCATTACTGTGAGGTAATCATCAGGTATATAGTATATATCGTATATATATAGTATATATAGCATATATAGTATATATGTGGACGTGAGTGCATGCGTGTATACTCAAACGTGTACGTGTTCACGGTAAGCACTCTGTCTCCTAGCTCTCGGAGGCTCTGTGATCACTCTACTATACACTCTATTCTTATAAGTAAATCTATACCTTGTGTTCTGCTAGTGGTATATATAGTATACATAGTGATAATATTCCTCTTTTTGTAAGTGAAAATGTAGACAAAATGCTTACACAGAGGTTAACAATGGAATTTCATCCGTTTTACGTGAAGTGGCGTAATTTTCTGTGAAAAACGCTATGCAGTAGTCATGAAATATGTTTTTCACTAGTTTTTTCATAGCACTAGGGTGAAACTACAATGTGAACAGCTGTAGGTAGACATCTAAAAAAATCCTCCTTCTTACATTTTTGTATGTTTACAATGATACCAATGATATGCGTATACAGTTACATAGACTCGAGATTGTTTCTGGCGGATATGGCTGCGCGCGGTGAAGACCCTATGGATGATGAAGGCTTTGAGGACGCTCTTCAAGATGAGGTCTTGAGTAATATAAAATGCGGCGGCGAAATGCATGTGTTGTGGCAATATTCGGAAAATTATGAGGGAATTTTGAGAAATTTTCAGTGTTTTGCGTACACTGCTGCCATAGTTCGTATATAGACTTGTACTATAATTAGTGAGGAATCTCCTGAGCTCAGCTGAGGAGAGCGAACATATATTCCTACTCCAACTCGTTTTTGTTGTTGTTTAGGAGGTGAGCAGCTGGAGGTTATAGCACAGCTGGCGCGACTGAACTATCAAAAGACGGCACAACATGTAATAAGGGGGAAACGTATTGTTAACAGTATAGTAGTATAAGTATTGGTGATAGGAGATGGGAGAGTTGTGGTATGGAAATGGATATTTTGTAGTCTATTAGTGTTGTTGTGGATGAATGGGTCGTCAGCAGGGAATCATCCAGGAACCTATAATGATCCCGTTTCGAATTTTCTAAATGTCTAGGAAAACATTCTCCAATCAGTTCATCATGTGAATGTCATCACATTAGGAATATTTTGCTCGTTGTTATCAAACCCTTGGGAATGTTATTTCTCAAAACTGGATGGGTCCTTAGGCTGCTTTTTTTCACAGGTATTGGAGTTGTTTGGAGCATGTACGGCATCGGGGTCTGATATTAACGAGCATAAACTGGCGTGGTTGGTGTATATCATGGGAGCGCTTGTGGGTGGGAATACAGGAGGTGGGTATCTTAGGTTCAAGGACGGAAGATACAGATTAGGTCCGAATTTAGGTGCGGGCAGTATGAGGGCGCATCAGCAACAACAACAGCAATCGAGCGGAGCGCAACCTTTGCACGTGGGAGATTCCATTCTTGCTATTCCTTTTGTCATTTTATTTTTTTCAGGTTATTAATGGCGAAATCGCTGGACGGGTGTTTTCTCTGATGAATCAAACGGACGCTAATACGACACTACCGCCAGAATCTAAGGATGGCTCTAATTTGGAAACTCTTGAACTATCGTATGAAAATCTTCCGCGTGCGTGTGGTATTTTGAGGTCGATGATGGTGGTGGTCAGATATCTTTACTTTATGGAGCAGTTTAGAAAGGTGTATATTGGGGAGCATGCAAGGCAGTTGTCAGCTAGTAATAATAACATATAGGGTTGGTAATTTCGTGGCGCAGTGACGGTGAGAGTATGAGTGAATTTGGTGGAATGATTTGGTTGGTGATGGTATCTTAGGTTGCTCATGGTATGATACGGATTAGGTCCGGGTTTGCTCTATAAGATATTTTTATTGATTCAGATGCGCCACCATCGTCAGCCTTGTTGCGTGGGGACGTGTCAATGGGTGCGTCAGAGAACCCCAGTAGAGTTGTCCAGGAAAGAGTGTGTAAGTTGGTGCATCATCATGTTGTTATTGTTGGTTTTTGATATCGATTAGGATGGCGAGCGCTTTTTTCCTCACAGGCACTGTGCTTGGTTTGAAGGATGAGGATGCTATTCTTGGAATTCTAATCAAGAAGATCGTCACCAACCTGCAACATCGGTATACGCTAGAGCCTGTTTTGAAAAGTAATAATTTTGTGGCGCGCGAAATAATTCGGATGAGAGCGAATATTTCCGATGTCAGAAACCCTGGCATACTTCTATGAATTGGCAGCTGGTGTTAACATAGTGCATTCTGTTGACAAAATGAGCCCGCACCTTATCGTTAGTGGGAAGCTCCTGCTGAAGAATGATACGGTAGTGAGGGCGATGGTGATTTGGAATTGGTGTGGTAGTCTTGAATAATACCGCAAAGTTTAAATTGTTGAGATTTGCTATTCGTCTTGTGCTGTGGGGAGATTCTTCGTAGTGCGTTGGAGTATCTCTTTGTCGTTGTGTGAGAGCCGTAAGTGTTGTGATGTGTATAGGTACGTCATTTGATGGCGAATCATGCGAGCGCGACTTTGGGGTTCCTCCATGCTGGACCGAAATATGGACGATACCGTAACGATTATATGGGAGTGAAAAAGTCCGGTTACGAGTTTTTTTCACTCAGGAACACAGTATTATGCGACTCTTGGTAAGCTACTGTTCATGGAGTGTCGAGACGGTACTACGAGCACGATGGCATTGGAGACTTTCAATACTTTCATGATGCCGCAATATCGGGTAAAAAGTGGAAAATTTCGGAGAATTTTGGGATTTTTTGCGGCGGTGGTTGTGATAGGTTTTGGAGCAACTGTGGCAAGCCGCCAACACTGGGGATGGATCAGCACTCCGCAGTGAGCAGCTCAGGTTGCCTCTAATTGGTTTGTGCAGAGATTTGAGAGGAATATGTCAGGCTTGTGTATCGCACGATATGTAATAATGGGTTATTTATTCACGAATACGGAATATTTTGCGCAAGTATAATCGTTGCTCAGGTACACGATTCTATTCAACTGGTTGGTTGACAATCCGAAGCAGCCGCAGAACTGCAAAATAACCGTCTTTTCAGCGGCTCTCACTTTCTATTGGGATGATCCGGATGTCACCACGCCCCTCCTTAAATTCGTAAGACCCAGGTTCGATTCCTGCTGGCGGCACTATATTCAATTGCGGTCCTTATGCGTTCTTGCATTATTATCACACGAGTACGTTTAGACTCGTCATTCGACATTGTGTGATACGTATATCTGTGTAGTTTTCTCTATTTTTATTACATAAAAATGTTCGTGCCAGGAATCGAACTCGCGATGCATGCCTTGGCTCTGGCATGGTTTGTTGAGTATATTTTGTTTAGGTGGCTGAGTTCGTGTACAACAAGGCGCAGCGTATAAACTTTGACCAGAATTCGCCGAATGGAATCCTCCTATTCCGAGAGGCATCGAAGATATTAGTGGCGTATAGTCAGAGGATCTTGCAACGTGAACAGAGCCAGGTGGGTGAGCGGAAAAATGCGCGTGGCAGGATTCGAACCTGGGACCCCGTGTCTCCCTCTAAAGTTGTGGTCGGTTATCTTGTTGATTTCAGCCGGTATATAAAGACATCTATCATGAGAAGTATAAGGGAATCGGATGCGTGTTGGAGCTCTTCAGCAACGCCCTACACGGAAACTATACAAACTTTGGCGTGTTTGAACTGTAATAATGGATGTGGGGGGATTCGATCCATGGGTCTTTGGGATGGAGGCTGGAGCGCGGCCGTGTTGGACTATGTATATGGTTGTAGATATAATGACAATTCGCTGTCGATGTCGCTGTCATTGGCATTGAAGTTGTGCATGTCGATTTCGATAGCAGATCTGATGAGTTACCTCAAGTGCCTCAAACCGTAAGCTTCATCAAATCTTGTCAAAACTCTCCAGAGGAGTTTGTCGTCATCAGATTCTTCATGTTCTTGGAATTGGCAACGAGAAACCATGCGAAGTTAGTTTGCGAAGTTGCTGAGTCGCCGGAGCATCTAGGTATTGCTAATCGATCATCAGGGCGAGCGCGCATCGGTTGAAGATTTTGTCTGGTTTTTTCTGTTCAGCTGGGCTCGTTCGGGCGTTGGAGGAAGGGCTGACGTCGTTTGACACGAGTGTTTGCATGCAATGCTGTGCCAGTATTGACAACCTGTGTACGTTCTTTTATGACATCGCTCACACGGGAGTGGGCTCGTCGGTGGGGGGAGGTAGAGATGTGATGGTTGATCGATTTGGGAGGGGGTTGGGTATTGTTATAGGTACGGCAGCTACTGCGGAGGATGTGGCCAGAGTGACACATGGGTTGTTGGTGGTGGGAGGGGCTGTGGATGGCGAGCTACGTAGGGTATTGAATTTGATGTTACAATTGATAATGGCGGGAGAATTCAACTCTACATGGAGTATATCGAGACCGATATTGGCGTTGATATTGATGTGAGTTGGTGGATTGAGAGTTGGGAAAGAGATGGTATGGGTATAATTGCACGCAGGTACAAAGATACGTATTCGCAAGCTCAGGAGTTGATTGTGAGGCAGCAGCCAACGGAAGAACGTCAACAGTAAGTGCTGGGTGGGAAGGAGGAATCTTGCTATCTTGCAATTCCTCAACGCTCCAGATATGTGGGAAAGTGTTTCTCGGAGCTGATGGTGGGAGTTACGGACAGCCTCCAAACGAAGAATCGAGATCACTTCACGCGGAATATGTAAGGGTGGCCAGGTGGAGGTCCCTGGTTCGATCCCTGGTGAGGGTGTTTTTATAATCGTAATAGGTACCACTTCGCCCAAGCAGTGCGATCTACTTCGTAGGAGTACTAGAAGGGTAGAGATGACTGTGACGTTACTGTTAAACACAACTGGACTCTGGTGATGCCTTCTAATATACTACTACTGTTGCTGCTGCTGCTGCTGATGCTATGAGTTTCCTTTGCGATATATGCCTTGGGTAGAGTGGGTTACTAACGTAGATCCTTATTGCTGATGATGATAGGGTTAGGGATGAGGCAGTAGGGGCGGGGGAGGGCGATGCGTTATGGTCTATTATGTAGGCTCTAGTGAGCATATCCTTCTTCGGGGGGTAGATGCAGTGGGAGAGCTCAGGATCATCTGTGTCATCATGGAGTGACACTCCGAGAGATATAGTGGGGTTGACCGTCCTGATGGGCAGCTGTGGTCGATAGGAGTGTTCGGAACACCGACATAGGGAAGTGATAGCAACAGCTGTGTGGCATCGTACGGCAGAGAGCTTACGCATATAGCCCGACGACGATGAGGTCTTTGATAGATCCGTTCTACTAGCACGGCAGAACGGAACTCATTTTACAGTTGTGATGAGATCCCGCTTGAGCTCGATCGTATCTTCACGATACACTCGATCATGGATGTGAGTACTAGGCGATGGTCCTTGCTTGCTAGTAGCACTGCTAGAGTTGTGTATGTTGTGACTTTTGGTGATCATGTGTAGTTTTTTCTCATCATTTTTGATGTCCTTTTGGAATTTCTTGGGCTTGAGCGGAGCGGAGGAAGTCCAAAAGCCCCCCGCGCCAGTGCAGGAGCAACGAGCGAATACGGTGGGGTCGGCGCGGTATACGTCCTCTCTACTGGTCATCTTTAGGTCGGCCAGCGCCCACAGAGTAAGTCGCCTGGCATGGTCCGCACGACGGTATCTCCTAGTGTGGCTACTGGAGGGTACTCAGCCCCTGCAGTGCCGCTACCGAGAAGGATGCAGCAGCAGCACCAGGTCCCTACACAGGGGAGGGAGGGGGCTGATAGGAGTAGTGATAGAGGGCTGGATGGAGGGGGTCTAGCGTGGTGTATCAGGTTCGTCTATTAGTAGTAACGCTACGTCCCGGTCGGGGGGAAAGGTTTGGGGAGGCAGCAATAAGGCCCCGGGGGGTCCGAGTCGATTCACCTTCGTCAACAAGGCACAAGCGGCAGCGTCGACGCCCCCACAGAGCGCTTTTGGTTTTCTAAATCGACCGCCGTCAAATCCAAACGCGTCCCCCAAGCCCCCACCGCCACCGCCTCCAGTAGCGAGAACACCTAGTCCATCGGCTGCATTGGCACGATCCCCGGCTGGTTCAATTGGCAGGGCGAGCGCTATGGGTTTTAGTAAAGTTGAGGATTCGACAAATAATGGCGAGGTGGACCGTCCGTTGCAGCAGCAGAGTCCGACTTCGACAGCTGGATTGAATACGGAAGTGTCGAGTGTAGTGATGGGCTAGTGGGGTGTGCATGCGTGCATACCACTCCTTTTGTAAATCGTGATGGTTATTGTCAGTCTCGGAAGCTGTATCGAGATGAGAAGACTCAACTCAGTGTCCGGCGGAAATCCAAATTAGCGGAATATGAAGCTGCGGTTTTGGGTATTCTTAAGAGCGCATCTCGAGAGAGCGATGTCGTCAAGCAACTGAAGGACGTGCTGGACCGACAGAATAGGCTGGTGGAGGAAGTAGTAGTCTCATTAGTTCAGTCGGGGAAGGGTTGTGCTATCATGCATGTGGTTTCTGGTTCGTTTCCTGGGTACGGAATCTTAGCAGACCCTTGATACATGATAAGCCCTGAGGATCGGCACGTTGTCAGCCTCTCTTTGTAACCTTCATTTTCGATAGGAGCGTTATGAGGAAGCATCCGAGCTCGACACTGAGGTGGCCGCTGCTAGGGAGGTCTTCGTGGAGCTCTGGCGGGGCATGGCAGAGAGGGCGAAAGAGATACAATCGGTGGAGGTACGTTGATGAGGGGTGGTGGTGTTGTCGTAGCATCGGGAGGGGAGAATGGGGGATGGAGCGGTACTACGCCTTTCCAATGTAAAATAAAATAAATGAAAGCACAAGTTGTAATTTGACTTGCACGTAACGAAATTCGAAACGATCGTGAGAGTTCCCCAGAGGGTCGGTGAATGAAATTTCGAATAGAACAATTACGGGACTAATTTCAAATGATATGTGATTGACAATAATATAATACATTAGATTGGTAATATTGTGAATTAAGATATAAGCCTATAGTAATATTAGCAGTTTGTGGTTATATGCATAATAGTATAGTAGTGAATATAATTAATATTATATTATAGTGAAATGATGATACTAGTCTAGGATGATAGGAGCACTACTCCTTGATAGGCTTTGTCGTTTCAGGCTGCTCTTAGAGCCCTTGATGAGAAGTGGAAGGAGGCGACTGTTGGGAGGACTACTGCTGTTCGAGAGTAATCTATTCGCGGTTCCACAGTCTTAGGGAGTCTACGATCCTTTTCAGGCAGCTAGCAGCAGTTATGAGTAGTGGTAAGGAGGCTGGTGCCTCTGGTGATGATGATGGGCGTCTACAGCTCCAACGGTCGGTGTTGGAGGCGGACATGCGTACTCTTGAGGAGATGAAGACAGCGAACGCAGCTGAGGAGTAGGGGTAGATCTAATCGATCGGTGTTGGCGGGGATTGGCGATGTTCAGGGCGGAGGTGAAGGCAGCTCGAGAGGCGGTGGAGGATGCTATTAAAGAGGTCACTGGTCCGATCGACGAGGAGAGGCAGCAGGTCGATAAGCAGAGGATTGAAGTAGAGGAGAGAATAAGGAAGCTGCAAGAGGAATTGGCTCAGTTGAAGTAAGAGTGGTATCGTCTTATACAAGCCAGGGTTGATGGGCGGAGCGAAGCAGTTATTGTATTTTTTATTCAGAACGACTAGAGATGAGTGCAACGAGAAGCTGAGCCGGCTGGATGGAGACATAGTGGCGGCCCGGGGGAAGGTAGGTGGGGTCGTTTGGGGGCATCCGTATTCGCCTAGTTCGAGGAGTATTGGTATGAGAGGGTTCCTGTCGATCGCTGCTGTTGTAGGGTACTTCAAGTGGTTATATATTCAGTTTCGACATGAGCTTGACAATGTGGAGGTGGCTGAGGAGAAGTTCGATAAGAAAACCAAGGCTATGGTGTTGAAGGAGGAGCTCATAGAGCAGCAACGGAAGGCGATCGAGCAAAGGTAGTCTCACTCTGTGGGAGCGGTTACGGTTTGTGGCTTAGGGAAAATGAAATTCATCAACGACGAGAAGAGGATTTGGAGAATCGTCGCGCGTTAGAGGAGGAGTTAGACGCTCTCGACACCTCACATAAGGTCGCCGACCGATGGGTAAGGTTAGAAATTATTGATCTCATATGAGGGGGTTCATGTCAGCTGGCGTGTTGTGATAAGCTGGGGTCTGCTGTGGAGGGTAGTGTTGGTGTTATTGTCGAAGGTGCAGAGCTGAGGGCAAGTCTGAGGCGACAGGTCAGTGGTCCGGTTGGGCGGCGGCGATGAGCGGGCGGGTATCAGCCGGTTTAGGTTACTGATGTTGCGGAGCAGCTGTCCACATTGGACCTCGAGATTGGCCGAGTGAGGGCGCAGTTGAACTTATTGCAGCAGCGAAGGCTTCAGGTGGAGGAGGAAGAGGGGGGAGATGATTTCATACTGATATATCCTTAATTTAGCATTGACTAGAGAGGATTACGGTATGATATGTATAATAATTATTATTATGGAAGTATAGCCTATGTCTAATAATATACAATATTGGAGATTATCCTAGTCATTATGGATGATGATCAGATTGAAGAGGAGAAGCAGCAGGCAGTCCGATCACGGAGGTTCGGGGAGGCCAAGAACCTTTCGGTACTATTCAAAGGTGTGAGGATGTCTATAGTACTATGATACGACCTTTTTCAATTGTCATATAATATGACAATTGAAAAAGGTCGTGTTATGACTCATATGACTAATATGACTCATATTATAATCGGGTTGAGAGAACAAGCGTGGAGGAGAGGTCTTAACGCTGCTTCCCGGATTAGGCTGAGGGTAAAACTGTGGAAGAGTCGATCGCGACCACCGAAGAGTCGATACGTAAGCTGCGAGACCGAAGCACTGCATTGCGCCAACAGCTTGATGAGGCTCAATCGAAGGAAGACGGCCTTCTTGATGGCAGCACGGGTGGGAAAGGGAGGCAGCTTCGCTCCGCCTAATTTTCGTTGTACAGATGTTACGGGATGTGGAGATGTACTTGATGAGATGGCCTTTGGTGTGAAGGCTCGGCTGCATTATGTAGGGGAGGTTGCTGAAGGGGAGGGGTTAAAGCCAGAGGCCGACATGTGAGCCATAGGAGCTCCTCAAGGGGCACATATGGAGTGTAGGATGCGTTTATCTTAGGTTGGAAGCCTTGGACGCTGAAATAGCGAAGCACCTGCCATCAGAAGTTGGGGAGAAGCTGAGGGTGCAAATGGCTGCCCTGGTGGACTCGGATACACGAGCAGTGTCACCACAAGGTGGTGACACGGCCAAGTAGCGCTGGTGGTCTGACATTCTGTGGGGTGGCAGTTGGTTTTGGGCAGGCCGTCTGAGAGCTCAGAAGGAGAACCTCTGACTTCGGGTGATGATGTTGGTGCCACAGGATCGGACAGCTGTGCACTGCAGTCGTCTGCCAACGATGATGTTGTGGATACTGCTGAAAACGACGAGAATTTTCGAAAGGAAACTGTCGAACTAGAACATGAGGTCAGCGTTGGAACCCGAGATTTGAGACAAGTATTGGCTGTAGGAGGTCCTGGCTACTCGTGATGATGTATTGGACTCCGAGCTCGCTTCATTATCATCGCAAGCCTCTGTGGATACACCTCGTGGGGAAGAGACTACTGAGGAGAAGAGCGACGTTGTTGAGGCTGGTGAAGTTGAAGAACAGCAGTCTAAGTCGGAATCGGTAAGTCGATTGGTATGTCGTGCTAGTAGTGAGCAAGCAGGTCGTCTTTGCCAGGTGGTGCAACCATCATCCACAGTTTCTGAGGAGGTCCGACCGTCTGATGCTTGAGTCATATACAATTGCTTGAACTTGTGTATTATGCAAACTCCACTGAGATACTTGCATTTTCCTCCCTATCCAAGAGTATTCGTGTTGCCTCGAGTGCCGTGCAACGGGTTTCACTATTAAACGAGATACCCGTATTGTGATTGATATTTGTCCTCTGTTGTTGAATTCGAGATTGTTTTCAAATTTTCGGGGAACTTGATGTAAAATGCGCACTGAGAAGGAAGTTATCGAGCTAAAATGGGGTTGCGCCAACGCGCTGACACAAGCTGTATATGCTATTTGTGAAGACGAACGTGAATTCGAATATCAATCATAATAAGCTCATTGCGAAGCCTATCACTCTTATCTCGCGATTTCGCGATGTGCTGATATTTGCTTCGAAATCTCTGTTGATCTTCGCCATCGTAAATCACATAATCACAGTATAATCAAAGGTTTTCTACCATCCTTGCCCACCTATATTCCCAAATAAGTCATCTGAGTAAGATAGGAAGTTTAATTGCATAAAGTCTCCGCTTTGCTTGTGACTTGTGTACTTTCAGTGAGCAAACATCACAATACAAGAAGATGAACAGGGTGTGCTGATGTCAACTTACCGAGTAGCCGAGAAAAGCTCATCACTATCACGCAACACACATAGAGTCCAGGCGAAAAGGACAATTCGAAATCACCAAGGAATTCTCCTTTCCTTCGTGAGAAAACTTCCTCTCCATCATCAGACATACTGATCCAAAAAAGAGAGGTAGCGAAAATTGAATCAACAGAAGAAGTAACCGAACAGGATGCTTAGCACAACTACATCAGCAGCGCTAAGATAGTGCCAAATTAGCACCTAGTGACAGTAGTATCTATGAGGGATCCGATGGTGACATGAACGTCGTTAGCATCGACGATAGTGGCCTTAACGGCATCAATGTGCATCATCTTCATCAACTTGGTCAGAGTAGCATCATAGTTGAAGAACTCCATCTCGGAACCGTTGACCTTGTAATCAGCGTGCATCTTCATCATACCCGCGACATTGATAGTGGCATGACCATCGGTGAAATCGATGTCGAAGCTCTGGCCCATCACCTTACCACAGAAATGGCCGCCGAAAACGGGAGTGGTGGTCGTAGTAGTAGTGGTAGGAGCCTGAGTCGTCGTGGTAGACTTGGTAGTAGTCGTAGTAGTGGTAGTTGTTGAAGTCGTGGTGCTGGGCGTAGCAGTGGTCGTTGTCGTGGTAGTCGTAGTGGTGGGAGACTGGGTCGTGGTTGTAGGCTTGGCTGTGGTTGTGGTCGTGGTAGGCGTAGTGGTAGGAGCCTGGGTGTTAGTAGTAGACTTGACCGTGGTTGGGGAAGTGGTAGCAGTAGTAGTCGTAGTAATAGGGATCTGGGTCGTACTGCTAGTAGTAACAGGCTTAGCCGTAGTCGTAGTAGCGATGGCAGACTTTGATGTTGTGCTAGTAGTGGTAGTCACCGGAGCAGCAGTAGTGATAGTGGTAGTTGCAGGAGCAACAGTTGTTGGGATTACGCCGGCATCACAACTGACTGATGCACCAGAGCAATCTTTATCGGTAGGCTGGAAGCAGTAAGAACCATCATCTCTTCTCACTAGACCGAAACAAACAGCGGGCTCCTTCCAAGCCTTGCAATACGAGCCGTACTTGGCAGTCTTACAGCCATCAACCTTGTTACAGAGAGCTAGACAAGAGTCTTCGGTAGCCGATGCAACAGCAACAGCAGAAACGATGGTAGCAACGGCGGTGAAAAACATGTTTGACGAAAGACGCAGTCGAAAAAAAGAATCTATAACCTGAGAAGTGGGTTGACTGTGATTGAATATATGACGACCCACATCTCGAGAGTTGGCTAGCGAATTCACTTCAGCTTGACACAGCTGCTTAGTAGTAAATGTCATTGTGTTGATGATGTCCCTCCCGCTAAGGGTTCTTATGAACAGAGGAATACGTATAGTCTACCCTCGTGGGGGTATTCATCTTCAAGATTAGCAGTCTGCAACACCAGAATGTTACACCCAAGTACGTATTCACTTGCGACTTGGTTGGTTCGGTCACATTCAGCTGGCTAGAAAGCTCAAGTGTGTCTGTTGTGGCCGTACCAGACAACTTCTCACGCTATGTTAGAGGATAGTCAACCTCGCCTCTTCTCAATAATTTGTGGTGTGTTATATGCAAGACCGTAGCAGTTGGAAGAGTCATCCCAAGCCCCACACGCTGAGTCATGTGTAGCATATGTTACTCGTTATATAGGGAATATGAGAGCGGGCCTATCCAGCCTTATGATGTGATGTATATAAATTGCCTGATGATGTGTTTGCTGAAAATGCAGTTTTAAAGGGGCTCCAGCAGAGAGTCGATCATGACGCAACTTTGGTATAACTAGTTCATGCCAGCGATGAACTTCGCCATCGTAAATCACACAATCACAGCACAATCAAAGGTTTTTCACCATCCTTGCCCACCTATATTCCCAAATAAGTCACCTGAGTAAGAGGAAGTTTAATTGCATAAAGTCCCTGCTTTGCTTGTGACTTGTGTACTTTCAGCGAGCAAACATCACAATACAAGAAGATGAACAGGGTGTGCTGATGTCAACTTACCGAGTAGCTTCTCACTATCACGCAACACACACACACACTCCAGACGAAAAGGATAACTCAAAATCACCAAGGACTTCTTTCCTTCGTGAGAAAACTTCCTCCCCATCATCAGACATACTGATCCAAAAAAGAGAGGTAGCGAAAATTGAATCAATAGAAGAAGTAACCGAACAGGATGCTTAGCACAACTACGTTAGCAGTGCTGAGCTGTGCCAAATTAGCACCTAGTGACAGTAGTATCTATGAGAGATCCGATGGTGACATGAACGTCGTTAGCATCGACGATAGTGGCCTTAACGGCATCGATGTGCATCATCTTCATCAACTTGGTCAGAGTAGCATCATAGTTGAAGAACTCCATCTCGGAACCGTTGACCTTGTAATCAGCGTGCATCTTCATCATACCCGCGACATTGATAGTGGCATGACCATCGGTGAAATCGATGTCGAAGCTCTGGCCCATCACCTTACCACAGAAATGACCACCGAAGACGGGAGTGGTGGTCGTAGTAGTAGTGGTAGGAGCCTGAGTCGTCGTGGTAGACTTGGTAGTAGTCGTAGTAGTGGTAGTTGTTGAAGTCGTAGTAGTCGTAGTAGTGGTAGTTGTTGAAGTCGTGGTGCTGGGCGTAGCAGTGGTCGTTGTCGTGGTAGTCGTAGTGGTGGGAGACTGGGTCGTGGTTGTAGGCTTGGCTGTGGTTGTGGTCGTGGTAGTCGTAGTGGTAGGAGCCTGGGTGTTAGTAGTAGACTTGACCGTGGTTGGGGAAGTGGTAGCAGTAGTAGTCGTAGTCACAGGGGTCTGGGTCGTACTGCTAGTAGTAGCAGGCTTAGCCGTAGTCGTAGTAGCGATGGTAGACTTTGATGTTGTGCTAGTAGTGGTAGTCACCGGAGCAGCAGTAGTGATAGTGGTAGTTGCAGGAGCAACAGTTGTTGGGATAACGCCGGCATCACAACTGATTGATGCACCAGAGCAATCTTTATCGGTAGGCTGGAAGCAATAAGAACCATCATCTCTTCTCACTAGACCGAAACAAACAGCGGGCTCCTTCCAAGCCTTGCAATACGAGCCGTACTTGGCAGTCTTACAGCCATCAACCTTGTTACATAGAGCTAGACAGGAGTCTTCGGTAGCCGAAGCAACAGCAACAGCAGAAACGATGGTAGCAACGGTGGTGAAAAACATGTTTGACGAAAGACGCAGTCGAAAAAAAGAATCTATAACCTGAGAAGTGGGTTGACTGTGATTGAATATATGACGACCCACATCTCGAGAGTTGGCTAGCGAATTCACTTCAGCTCGACACAGCTGCTTTGTAGTAAACGTCATTGTGTTGATGATGTCCCTCCCGCTAAGGGTTCGTCATGAACTGAGGAATACGTATAGTCTACCCTCGTGACGGGAGTGCATCTTCAAGATTAGCAGTCTGTGACATCCCGGGTGTTACATCCAAGTACGCATTCACTTGCACCTTGGTTGGTTCGGTCACATTACGCTGGCTAGAAAGCTCAAGTGTGTCTGTTGTGGCCGTACCAGACACCCTCTCACGCTATGTTAGAGGATAGTCAACCTCGCCTCTTCTCATTCATTTGTGGTGTGTTATATGCAGGACTGTAGCGGTTGGAAGAGTCATCGCAAGCCCAACACGCTGAGTCGTGTGTAGCATATGTTACTCGTTACATGAGAGCGGGCCTATCCAGCCTTATAATGTGATGTATGTAAGCTGCCTGATGATGTTTTTGCTGGAGATGCAGTTTTAAAGTGGCTCCAGCAGAGAGCCGAGCATAACGCAACTTTGTTATAACTACTTCATGCCAGAGATAGTAGATGACTGATTGAGTACGAAAATTTAGGTGCACGTCACATTGACCAAGTTGAAGACTTCACGTAGAATTCATCTCTCACTGCCCCACGAATACGAGGTCAAATTCAAACGCAAGCCCTTACTCTGTGGTAGACGAACTACACTTTAATCGGGAAGTTGACGAGACGAAATCCTCATAGCCTCAAACAACATGTTTTGGATACTTGTAACACCAACATCGAAGAAGGAACTAGACTCAACTCGCTTGACCGACGATCCTCCGTCTCCGACATCCCAGAGAGAACCAACACACCGACAAACACAGTATCCTATCAGTATGACAACACCCTTAACTATTCATAGCCGGTAACTACTTCAACAGCAACACACAGTCGAGATGAAAAGGACAACTTAACAACAGTAAGAAGTTCTCCTCTTTCCCTTCAAGAGGGACTCCCCACCTAACGTCATCAGATTTGCTGATTCAACGAGTGGCGAGGAAACGAAAACTGGGTCTCAAGTGCTTAGCACCTGGTGACTGTAGTATCTATGAGAGATCCGATGGTGACATGAACGTCGTTAGCATCGACGATAGTGGCCTTAACGGCATCAATGTGCATCATCTTCATCAACTTGGTCAGAGTAGCATCATAGTTGAAGAACTCCATCTCGGAACCGTTAACCTTGTAATCAGCGTGCATCTTCATCATACCCGCGACATTGATAGTGGCATGACCATCAGTGAAGTCGATGTCGAAGCTCTGGCCCATCACCTTACCACAGAAATGCCCACCGAAGACGGGAGTGGTGGTCGTAGTAGTAGTGGTAGGAGCCTGAGTCGTAGTAGTAGTGGTAGGAGCCTGAGTCGTAGTAGTAGTGGTAGGAGCCTCAGTAGTAGTGGTAGTGGTAGGAGCCGCAGTAGTAGTGGTAGTGGCGGGAGCCTCAGTAGTAGTGGTAGTGGCGGGGACCTCAGTAGTAGTGGCGGGGGCCTCAGTAGTAGTGGCGGGGGCCTCAGTAGTAGTGGCGGGGGCCTCAGTAGTAGTGGCGGGGGCCTCAGTAGTAGTGGCGGGGGCCTCAGTAGTAGTGGCGGGGGCCTCAGTAGTAGTGGCGGGGGCCTCAGTAGTAGTGGTACCAACGGGGCTAGTAGGAGTAACATCCGAACAGGTTACAGCCTCGCCGACACATTCCTTGTCAGTAGGCTGGAAGCAGATAGAACCATCAGATTTCTTGATCAAACCAAAGCAAGTAGCAGGACTCTTCCAAGACTTGCAGTAAGAACCATACTTGGCCGTTTTGCATCCCTCAACATCGTTGCAGAGAGACATGCAAAAATCATCAGTAGCAGCCACAAGGGATGCAGAAGCAACGGCGAAGATAGTAGCGGTGGTGAAACGCATTTGAAATTAAGGAATTAACTAGTAACTGATAGGAAACTATTCAACTTACCATCATTATACTCTTTCACGGCGATTTAAATACATCAGTGGTCCATCAGAAGGCACGGCCCGACTAAACAGCAAACCTATCGATAAGTACCAACCTACTCCCATGACAAATTCATTCGTAGACATGACATAGCTAACACAATCGTAAAGATAGGATGTCCCCATTTCCCTGGACTAGCACAAGAGGATACTCGTGTGATTTATGGAGCTCATTCGCTATTCGTCGTCCCTATCGCAGGCAACGATGGAATCTCATCCTTCCAAACTCTAGGGCTTCGAGATTGATCATCTAAAGCGATTTAAACACCGAATAACTCTTCGTGTCGAGTAGTCTCCATCTGGTTGCCGAGACGGGACGTCGCTACATCGTGGTGTCTATGTTACACGAACAACACAATGAGTGTCCCCGGGACACTGGGCCGATCATGTCATGCCGAAAAGTCGCATTCGAGTACCTTCGATCGGATGTTTTCACTGATTTTTGGTGACGGACTCTAATGACTCCTTCCACGCACGACATTCAGCCGCTGGGACGAAGGCTGATTCCGTAACGGCGTTTTAGCTGTACGGATGAGCTGAACATGTTCGTGAAATGCGACCCATAGGATGTGCGCGCATGCGCGTAATGTGCGTAATGCTCGGTGAATTCCTCCATGCTTTCTGGGAGAAGTATCTAGGAATCGGAATTTAGCTTGGAACGATTCGGTTCATGTTGAAAAAGGTGTACTGAAGACGATCCCTCGAACGATAGTTGTCATGCCATAGACTCTGGATGAGCTGGCAAGAAGAGTTCCTTGTACATTGATGCTTCCAATGACCAAAGGCGCAGGCATACCCTCTAGTCGATGCGTTATACTCGCGCCACGAACATATCTCCTCCAATAATCACGGAGGGTTTGAGAATCTCTTAGTTCACCACGATAGAGGACACCAAGCAGTGAAAGCCAGATCGAAAATGATGGAGTCAAGCTCTAGCTCAGCAGACATCAATAACATATCTAATAAACGGAGGAAGTCTTCTAAAGTCGTGGCAGCAGGTACGCTATTTGCTCTTCGTGAGTTGTTGCAGAATGTACTATTATGAAGTGAGGTCGGCAACCCTCCCGCGAATGGGGCGAATTGACAACTAGAAGACAAGGTAATGAAAAGTCAAGTATCACTAAGTGCAATAACTCTGGATGTTGCTCTAACGCCCCTAAACGGCGGCATATACTATAATCAGGAGTGAAGTCCAAAACGAACACCGTTGGCGGCAACTTCAGTTGACCTTCAATTCTGTGGAGTCCTAAACCAACAGCGAAGTCCTTCCTCTCCTCGAGCTCATACCCCACCTCATTGTCGGAGGCCCTCATACAACTGTTTGGGAAGCAAAAGGCTAGGAAGCTGCACCTCTCTCCAAATGGTGTAGTGAGCTTATCAGACCAATCGTGGCAGGACCCCTCCGCAGTAGAGATCTCCGATCCAACCTGTGAGTACATTAGAGGACTATCATAAGCTCGGCCCACTTCTACCGATAACAGACAGCTCTCGAGGTGCCTTTCATGCTACCATCTACTACGTTGGAGTTTCACCCTAGTGATATGAAAAACACTAGTGAAAAACATATTTCACGACTACTACAGGCCTCCGCGAATATCGCGTTTTTCACCAAGTTTCACACCACTTCACCGAAAACGGGTGAAACTCCATTGTATGATGTACACTCACTACTACGTAGCTGCACGGTACTCACAAAATCTCACCTCGGAGACCATCTTTTCCGATTTATTCCGTTCACCCTTGCCTACTGACGAGCGCGCCTCCTCATACTCATCATCACTGAACGATGCACACGATTGGAACCTAACCACTCGAATCAGTCCATCAAAACTCCTAAGGCGCTACTCAGTGCTGGTGAAGGAGCCCACCGAATAGAAGTCAACCGATGCTGGCGATCCACCCGTCTCAAATCTGAACAATACAACTATACTTCCTAAACACTTCTCAGCACTTACTCAGTCCGCGAGTCGTCTTCTACTTCTGAAGCCTGTCGACAGCTCGGACAGCTACAATCACATGAATTCATTCTACTATGAGTCATCCCATAAGTAAACACTGCGAGCCGTCGTAACCACTCCTTCCCCTCAACACAACTGATCCAATTGCACACATCCTCGCTATCATCGGGACAAACTGTCAACTACGTATAGACAGCGCCCGCGCGATATGGTACACGAAAAAACGTAAAGTCCTCAGCAAATGCAACGACTAGACTTGTTGCCAACAGTTTCATCGTGCCTCCGCGAGCCTTCACTCGGCAACTGCACCGCCGCTGTGGCAGGCAAGACACGATAGCCACTTAGCCGTGACCGATCTCCGCTTGTTCTTTTTCTTTCGAGACAGACCCTCTGCTCCAATGCCATCCGCGATGTGTGGCTTCTTAGGCGTGAGGCGCTGCTGCTGCTGCCCGTTACCGAGGGCAGAGCCAGCAACACTACTGAACATGTCCTCATCACTAGCTCGAGCAAAGTGAGATGTCGTGCCGACTTCCACGGCCACTGAAGATGACTGAATCGACTCTGTAAACGCTGAGGGGGGAGTCTTCAAATTCGAATTCGCCTAAAACGAAGATACTCACCATCGCGCACAGTGAAGATTTCTGATCATCCCGCACTTTACACCAATGACTGAAGACTAACCAAGGCCCTCACCAACGCTTACCGTGCTTCCATACGCAATAACGTCATCTGATACTTTGCGAGACATCGGAGTGAATGAACAGCAAGATACGAAACTGAACACATCACAGATTCTCATAAGGAGAGCGAGCTAGGCGGAAAGATACTCGGGCAAAAAATGCAAGCCTAGTGTTCCAAAGGTGCCATAGAAAAGTAGTAATTTCCCCAGCGATTCAGTACTTACTCCCTATTCTCGTCGCTCGAGACTAGACTGACAAAATCATCGGACACTCCTGAGGGACTCCTCGTCGTGGAAGCCCTTATGGATGCGCCGTACTTAGGCGATCCTCCTCCAGCGTGCCTGATAATGAATGGCAAGGCTGTAACGAATTGAGAAAAGGTAATACCACCTCAAGCGCCTCTCCTCCTTCATTTTATCCTCATACGCCAGCCAAGGCCCCATATTACTATACATACAACCTCCTCTGACGCCAGAACAGGCTATACATGTGCCTACAGAGAACATTCACAAAGATTCTCACATGGTGATTCCACCGGGACGACCCCGAAGTGACAGACAACCGTATATTGTGATTACAAGTACATAGCGTGATGACACCTAGAGTAATGATAAGTAGCCAACGCGACACATATCGTGTGACGATGTGACACAGTGTAGGAGGAAAATATGTACATGGTCAAGAACATATGTTAGTGACAATATGGAAGCGCTGAGAATATTTTGGGAAATTCTCATTGATTCCTGTACATCGGAGTTTCACCCATTTTACGCGAAGTGGCGTAAAACTCAGCAAAAAACGCGATATTCGCGGTGATATGCAGTAGTAGTGAAATATTTTTTCACTAGTGTTTTTCATATCACTTGGGTGGAACTCTATTTCTACCCAAATTCGTATGTAAACTTCTATAATTGGTGAGGAAACTCCTAAGCTCAGCTGAGGAAAGCGAACATATATTACAACTATCCATTACTAACGACTAAGAAATATGTTTACCTCCTAAAAAGTCCGGCAGCTGATCAGGATCGACGACACTGTGAAGCGTCGGCTTATAATTAGATCCCAGAACGACAATTTTCGACCTGACATCACAACTGCATCGAAAGCCAGCCAGCGAGGGGCCTCCCCACCTCGTTATTGGATCCACCATCGGGCTCACCACCTTCCATATTGCTGTGAAGATAAAAGGTGCGTTCACAACGAACCTGATAACCAATTAAAAACGTCATTCATGAATCGCTTCGCTCCGCCCTACATAGTTCCGAGCACTTCTGGATAGTTATCGTTGGCTACTTTGGCGAGTTTCTGATCAAGTAAACACATCAACGATAAGCCATAGCACTCAGCGGTCACAAGAAACACTATAGCCTCAATTGAATAGCCTCTAACATTCGTGAGAGGAGACATCAGCCTCATCGTCGAGAAAATCACAAAGACTATCAAGGACGCCAAGTCATCGCAGGAGAGACGAGATTGTTAAATCACATTGTTGAATTGAGAATTAATTTCGATTACAACAAGCGAATTCAGGAGATTCCGAAACGTGAAACTCCCAAGAGCCACAAACAGAAGTGTGTTTCGCGTAAGTGTGAAGCAGGGACGCTGAATACGTTACGATCAATTCTCTTACGCGTATAAATGACCAACCCTTAGCATCACCTGCATCATGTTCTTTACTTGAGGAGTAAATTGTTTCAACCCCAGCCCTTTGAGGTCGATAATAGTACAAGTCTTGTCCACACCGCACGCTGGCAGTCTGTACTCAATCAACTCTTCGTATCTACAAAAGTTACACAATCGACGACGTTGACAACTGCCACGCCCAAGAAGAACCACGACACCTCCCCCTTACTCTTGGACCCAATACCGCAGCAACCGATCGAATGTGGTTATCTTCATCAGCTCCCCAGCATCTACCATGCCCGTCCTCTCGATGTACCTATTTCGATCGTCCGATCATATCTGACTGCTGTTATGTGAAAAGATATAAAGTTTATTGGACTTTCACCCGTTTTACGTGAAGTGGCGTAAAACTCGGTGAAAAACGCGATATTCGCGGTGATATGCAGTTGTCGTAAAATGTGTTTTTCACTAGTGTTTTTCATATCACTAGGGTGGTGAAACTCCATTACTCTTTATCAGTGTGGGAGAATATGCACGTAGTCAACTACATATGTAGGGGAAATTTTGAGGATGAAAATTGAGGAATTCACATTGGCTTCTATCCAAGCGTGTATATAAGCTTCTATAATTAGTGAGGGAACTTCTGGACTCGGCTGAGCAATACGATCGTTTATTCAAGACTACTCTTTCTATTTGAGA